TATATCTAATTATATATTATCTCATCACTAAAACTTATTTAAACGGTTTAAGTTGGTTGATGTAATGTTCTAATATTATTTTATACATTTTTTTTTTTAGAATTTTAGTTTGAAATTTTTTGTTTTGTGAGAGAGACATTATTGTTTCTAATTTTTTAGCCATTACTAACTAGATTTCTAAATTGTATATTCACTTTTTATATATAACGTTAATGAATTTATGTTAGAAAGAAAATAAAGTATAAAGCTTTGACACATATTTGAAATATGAAGCTATGTAATTTTGTTTTTATACATCGATTAATTTCTTTCTAATATTTTTTACATTGATTAATTTCTTTCTAATATTTTGATGACGAGGAAAAGCCACAATCATTACTGAACAATATTGGGTAATAAGGTGGAAAATCCTAAAATTAATAATCCTACTAAAAGATAAGCAAATATTTGGGAAGGAAAGGGTGGATGATTCAGTTAGTGGTTAGCACGATACTTCTTTCTTACGTGCAATCAAGCATTTTGCACCCCTACACGCAAGAGAGAGCCTCTATACTATATATAATTCAATAAGTCTTAAAAGAGCTCTTGTATAAATACTGGTGCAAGTCTACTTCCCAAACCAGTGTGGGACAAAAGCTACATTTTTCCCTTCATTTTTCAACTCAAATGGGTTTACTTTGAGAATCAATATCTCATTCACCCATTATCCGTTTTGAACATAGTAGCGTACAATATATCAATCTCTTCGTCTCACTATGAAGAACCCGAATCCACTTTGACCCAACCCAAATCGGAAGTGGACCCACTGATATTTGTACCACAAAATAGCTACTAAAATTGTCATTTCATGCCAATTTATGCTATTTTTTCCAACATACAATGGATAAACTCATCTCTTATGTATAACTGATGACAAACCACATGAGAAGTAACTCGTTAGAAAAATCCGGTGTGACAAGTTCAACACAAAGAGTGTTGGCAAGAATATGAATTTGATCATTTTCAGGAATGCATCCACCGGTTGCACGAACATTAAGGTGAATGAATCCCAAAGGGAGGCTTCACTTTCTTCAACCAGAACCTAAAATATTGAGCGATACGTACAACTCCACAAAAAACGTGTTAGTTTAATTGTACTAATAATTAATTTCCTAGAGGAAAAATTACACTTTTTGTCATCCAATTATACATTGCACGTTGTACATATTTAGCCATTGAGTTAAATGTGTGACTATTTTTAACCCATAAATTATAGACAAAGTGACGAGTTTGGCCTTTAAAAGACTAAATTCACCACTTTATTAAGAGACATATTGGTGACAGAAAAAAGTGTCAAGAAACTAAAATCTTTATTTCGCCCATAACTTAATAATGTTAAATATAATCACATATATAACTTAAAAATCAAATTTGTATCACAAGTATAACTAAAGGACCAAAAAATACAATTTTCTTTTCCTACATCATTGGAGCTCCCAAAGCTCCCAACAAATGAAACTTGGCATCTGCAGATTGAGCCATAAGAGACTGAACTGTCGTGGTAGAAGGTGATTAAAGCCACCCATTTTGACAGTTGTGGCACACTGAAAGGTCAGAGTTAAATGATTTTTAAATGCATTAATATCTTCAACTTTCTCTTTTACAAGTTTTTAATACTTTATATATTTTAAAAATTATATTTTGATAATCTCTATCGAAAATCTTTAAATTCTCAACCGCCAAAAAATAGTCAAAAAATAATCGATCATTTAAACGATTTATATAAAAAATCTGTAAGTAAATTTAAAATGAATAACTATATACCACAATTATAAATTTTATCTTTTAGCTATTAATTAATACATATTTGCTATAATTAATTAAAATAATTTTGAGTGTCACTATAATGAATCAAAAAATATTTTTCTCCTAAGTAGACACAAATAAATAAACTACATGTATGGTGAGGTCTTGCCCCACAAATAGGACCACACCAAGAAGATGTGGAACAATGTGGTAGCTATCGATGATCAATTAAGACCATGATGAAGCCATATAGGATGATTGGTGGTAATAAAAGTTGTCATCAAGGAAGGAAGTTGTAGTTTTCAAAGAAAATAATTAATTTTCCCAAATGGTTTATTACAATGATGTGTGTAAACAGTTTAATGTAAGTAATCACTCTGAAAGCCTTACTCCAACGATAGGATAGGGTTCAATTTCCACTGAAAACATGTGGTTCATCGGGAGATCTAAAGTTCAAAAAATTGATCAGAGGTGATGAAATCTCTTATTGCAAATGTAAAAATTGATGACTGATTGGGTGACTAGTTTAAGAGTCTCATTATACATTTTTTTTAGCTGAAGTGTCAAATAGTTCCATCTACTATTCATAAGTACTCAATTAACCTCTTGTTCTAAAATAAAATCTAATTGGTTACATTTACTTTGAAAATTATGTTCGATCACTTAGCATTTTCTCCAGGTTTTCATCAGGTAGCTCTTCCATAATGCGGACATATATGGAATTTAAATAAAAATAATTTGATGACTTGTTTAATTGTTGACTCATTCAAACTCAAAAAAAAAAAAAAAAAAAAAAAAAAAAAAAAAAAAAAACCACTACTCTCTCCCTCCTCACCCTCACCAGCATCATCGCGGTTGCCGATCTGAAAACTGAAAGAGAACATCTACACTACAGATTTTAAACTTCTTAAAAAGTTGAATTGTATTTATACTAGTGAAACCTTCTTCTTTTTTTTTTTTTTTTTTTTTTTTTTTTTACGTGGGACAAAAGCAACTTAAATGTTTTCAGAAACTCCATTTTTTTCAACTCTAAGTATACTTTGAAAACCAATTACGCATTCACTCATTATCCATTCTGAATGTACAATATATCAAATTCATCATCTCAACTAAGAAAATTCAAATCCACTTTGACTCCACCTAAATTAAAATGGACCACACTCAAAATAATCACTTAAAAAAAATCAAATGTTACTAATTTTTTTAACAAATTACACATTAATTTATTATTTTAAAAGTTTTTTTAATAACATCCTAATCTAAATCTAAACCTAAACCAAGAAATTTTTCAGATCTTCATATTTCAAAATATTTCACATCTAAGCTCTAGTCGACTAGAACACATTTATTGGGCGTCGCAAAAATTATTTATTTGGAATTAAAATACAATGAGGTGGCGCATAAGTGGGGTCCAGGATTAAAATCGAAAGGAATAAGTAATGGCCACGAGAGGGTAACTTGCAACTACCAACTATATGTGCTGTCCAAACTACTGCTCCATAGCTCAACCTATGTTTTCATGGCACGAAATATATAAATATAAATATAAATTTTTAAAAATGGTGTTTTTAGAACAAAAAATGAAACGATATTATTAATTTAGCAAGTGGAGAACAAAAATGAGAGGGTCCCCGGCCTCCAACTCAAGAGACCAGTTTGAAAACCAATTATTTTGACTAAAATATGAGCGAATTAGTTTAAAAGAATAACAAATGTATATAAAATAGTAACTTATTAAAACTATTCTAATGTAAATAAAAAATATTATTCAAAGACTTTTCCTTTTCACAACTTGGTCTAGATAGTTTCAATGTTAGTAAAAGGGCATTGGTAGCTCGTGGGATGCAAAACATAAATTGGGACAATATATAAATATACCACTATTCAAAAATGTATCAGGGTGAAATGAACAAATATATCATAAAAATGCGTCACACTCTGATAATTTTTAAATACATGATGATACATTCTTGCACATTCACACAAGAAGGTCTGTTCGCACGGAAACCAGACCCGTATATATATATATATATATATATATATATATATATATATATATATGCGCCCGCCTAAAACCTATATAGCTAGCTTGAAAAATGTCATGAGAGCATCCATCTCGATTTCTTTAAGTCAAATTCAGTATGCTATATTTGTTCATTTGTTCCGTGCAGTAGATGGCCCATAATATTAATGTAATTTTCTTGTCTGAGCAAATGTAGTAGAAACTAATTATAACTAATTATGTCATCGTGCTGGGTAGGTTTTAAAATAATTGTAATTGCTCGGTACAACTCTAACTGGAAATTTTTGATTAAATTAGAAGAGACTCCTACTATTTCATTCACACTCAATATTAATTATACAATATAATTTTCAAAACAAAGTTGATTGCTTTAGCTAGCGTATTTGATGGCTAAATACTTCATTAATAAAAGCTTTGAGTGATTTAATTAGCTAGCTTCAAAGCATGTTTACGTACGTAACACACACACGTTAAAATAAAGAAATGATCGAAATTCCAGTGGGTTTAAGCTTCAGTTACTAAGTACACTGGGGAGCCACCCTGCGAAGAATTGGTCAGACATTTGTTTAATAGGCAAATTACATCGTGTACAGGCGAACAACTGACCCAAAACGATTTCGTTTTGTATCTGTTTTTTTTTTTTTTTGAAAATTTTGTTTTTCGTTTTTGCTGTTAATTTCTAAAAAAAAACTCATGTTTCGAATGTACATAATTGTATAATAGAATACACATAATCCCCTAACATAATACATATAATCTTTTTAGAAAGAATATACACATAATCTAACATATATAATACATAATATACATAAACTCTTAATTTTTTTTTTTAAAAAAATCACCTGTATGTACATAATTGTATAATAGAATAACTCTTAACATAATACACATAATCTTTTTTGAAATGATAGCATATAATACATAATATACATGAACTAGCCAGTAACTTAACTGAACACAGAGTCTAGACCTGAGCCCTCACTTTTAGATGCTGCTTTTACTCTTATTGCTACTGGTGAGACTCGATCTTGAGTTATTGTCTCCAAACTTCATCCCTATTATCAATTCAGCTGTCCATGCGGGCTCGAGAGATTAATTGTGAGTGGGGAGTTGGATCCAAAGGGAAACGTCCAGCTAAGAGAGGGTTGTGTGACACACAATAACTTGTTCATTAAATCCCTCCATCTGCCTACCATTCAATTCATCGTTTTCCCCTGCAATGTCGTTCCACTCTTTAAATAATCATCTTCCACCCTTCCTTTCTTAGTAAACCAAAATTTATCCTTTTTTCTCTCTGTGTGACTGTGTTTCTCCATTCCCACAAGAATCATCGAACGTATAACAATGGCGCAACCCACTACTCCCCCATACACCAACTCGGTGAAGCTGAAATACGTGAAGCTTGGTTACCAGTACCTGGTTAACCATTTCCTAACGTTGTTGCTGGTCCCGGTCATGGCGGGAGTCGCCATTGAAGTTCTGAGGTTAGGACCTGAAGAAATTATGGGTGTCTGGGATTCTTTGCTCCAGTTAGACCTCCTCAAAGTCCTATGTTCCTGTTTCCTTGTCGTCTTCGTCGCCACTGTCTATTTCATGTCCAAACCTCGCTCCATCTACCTCGTCGACTATGCTTGCTACAAGCCGCCGGTGACCTGCCGGGTTCCCTTCTCCACTTTCATGGAGCATTCCCGGCTGATTCTCAAAGATAATCCTAAGAGCGTGGAGTTCCAAATGCGGATTCTGGAAAGGTCGGGGCTCGGGGAGGAGACCTGTCTCCCGCCGGCGATTCATTATATTCCTCCGACGCCGACCATGGAAACCGCCCGAAAGGAGGCGGAGGTGGTCATCTTCTCCGCTATTGATTCGCTCATGAAGACGACCGGACTGAAGGCGAAGGACATCGATATTCTTATCGTGAATTGCAGTTTGTTTTCTCCTACTCCGTCGTTGTCGGCCATGGTTGTGAATAAGTATAAGCTCCGGAGTAATATCAAGAGCTATAATCTCTCCGGCATGGGGTGCAGCGCCGGCCTGATCTCCATTGATCTCGCTCGTGATCTTCTTCAAGTTCACCCTAACTCCTACGCTTTGGTGGTGAGTACTGAGATTATCACTCCTAACTATTACAAAGGCTCGGAGAGAGCCATGCTCCTCCCTAACTGCCTCTTCCGGATGGGCGGCGCCGCAATCTTGCTCTCTAACAAACCCCGAGATTCGCGGCGGTCCAAGTACCGGCTGATGCACGTGGTCCGCACGCACAAGGGTGCCGACGACAAAGCCTACCGCTGCGTGTACGAGCAGGAGGATCCGCAGGGGAAAGTGGGGATAAACCTCTCCAAAGACCTAATGGTGATTGCGGGCGAGGCGCTGAAATCCAACATCACCACCATCGGCCCGCTGGTTCTCCCGGCGTCGGAGCAGCTCCTCTTCCTCTTCACGCTAATCGGCCGGAAAATCTTCAATCCGAAGTGGAAGCCCTACATTCCGGACTTCAAACAAGCCTTCGACCACTTCTGCATCCACGCCGGCGGCCGCGCGGTGATCGACGAGCTCCAGAAGAGCCTCCAGCTGTCGGCGGAGCACGTGGAGGCGTCGCGGATGACGCTGCACCGATTCGGGAACACATCGTCTTCTTCGCTGTGGTATGAGCTAGGGTACATTGAAGCCAAAGGGAGGATGAAGAAGGGAGACAGAGTTTGGCAGATCGCTTTTGGCAGTGGGTTCAAGTGTAACAGTGCTGTCTGGAAGTGTAATCGCACCATTAAAGCTCCCATTACTGATGGTCCATGGCAAGACTGCATTCATAGGTACCCAGTGCACATCCCCGAAATCGTCAAGCTCTAATCTACTATCGTCTCTCGCAAACAATTAATACCCAAAATGAACCATCAACTATGTCATAATTCTCAAATTAGTCAAAATGAACACTTCATTATGCAAAATTTTACTCATTTTAGTTCTCCGTTACTTATTCTGAGAACTAAATTGAATAAATTTTTGCATAATTAAGTAATGGAATAGTCGATTAATTATTTTGGGTATTATCTTTTTTTGCGAGTTTCTTTCACTTTTACCTGCTTGTTTTGTACTATGGGGTGCGGTGAAACGTGTCTGTATGTAACATTTCTGGGTAGCTGCATTTAGTCATCAACACGTTATTATTGCAGGGTACGGTTAAAAAAAAAAAAAAGGTTATTATTGCAGTGACATATAAAGGCTGCAACTTCTTTTTGTACTTTTTTAAGAAAAAAAATTACTGTTTGCTTGTAATAAGTCCGTATGTACATGCTGGGTAAAATTGTATTTAGTCACTATTCAGCTGTTTTTCTATATTTCTCTTGTACTTAACTTTCATGCATGCGTGCATGTGTAAAAGTGATCATAACCTCAGGTTGGCCATCAGCCTATCAATTTCACCACTCCACTAAAAATAATCAATCATTAACTATATTTCACTTTATACGATAAACGACTAACATAAGTTCAATTTTAGTATACTGAACTTTTATTTTTTATTTGATATACTCCGTACTATTTATTAGTAAGGTGTACCAACATGAATAAAAGAATTTGAAATCATTTGACAACTCGAAATTTACCTATTTTTTGGTGTCCAAAATATAAGTACGGAATATAAAATTTGGAAACTTGGTTTATAAAATAAAATAGGGACTACAATAATAAATATCGTTGTCCTATTTAACTTGTTTGACTGTCAGATAATAACCAAACCCAAATTCAATTGTGACAGGTGGCCATTGGCCAATGATGATAGGCTGGGCCTCTATATAAATTCATCCAAAAAAAAAAAAAACATATAATAAGGTTATTGAAAGATGTTTTAGATTGTCAACCACAAATGCCGTGCGTGTCTTCTAGCTATAGCTAACTAATTAAATTTAGGTTGAATAATTATATTCAACATTATTGGGTCGTTTATTATCCAAGTCTAATATAGTTGGGTTTAGTCTTCATAAATGTAGAAGAATAATTATAGCTAATAAAACAAGATAAAAGATCGGAAATAAATTCAAAGACGTGATATGTATTTTACGTGAAATATAATAGGACGGCAAATAGACTAGCGCGCTATTCCCTTTACCATAAACGTGGCATGATGACTTTGGATTGTCTTCTGGAATTTATTAAGGATATTATTTAGGAAAATAAAATCGAAGTGTGCTTCAATTGAAGGTTTCTGACAACTCAAGTCCGATAAATTTGACTAAAATTGGCCTATCATCAATTTTTATTTTTATTTTTATTTTTTACAAAGTAGATAAGATGCTCTCAATAGCTGTAGTGAAAGAGTAAAAAAACTAGGACGTCCTAAAGGGTGGGCACACACACTCTGATATATATATATATATATATATATATATATATATATATATATGTGTGTGTGTGTGTGTGTGTGTGTGTGTGTGTGTGTGTGTGTGTGTGTGTGTGTGTGAGGGATTAAATGAGAGCATGGTTTTCTTGTAGAAAGTGAAGACGGATGATCTCAAACGTCCGCTATGATTCATCAATAGTTAATTATTTTAGTAAAAAGTTATAAGATTAATTTTATAATTATTGAAAAACTTTTAAGAGTGGACGGGGTTCATTTTATATATTTGCTTTGGGGAAATAATTTTATTTTATAAAACTACAAAGTGTCACACATGTGTATAGTAGAATGCACATAAACTCCTAATATAATATACATAATCTAACATAATACATAATACACATAAACTCTTAACATAATACACATAAACACAAGTGTTAAAAAAAAACTGTAATAGAATTAGACGGACGAAACATTGTCCATTGCGTCAACTTCCCACCAACTTATAGAAACTTCGTCATTTTAGACTAGGGTACGTAATACATTATGTGCCTTGAGACACGATATAACAATTGATAGATTAGTAGATATAGATTTTTAGAAAATGGGCTTCCCGTTCTCAAAAAAAAAAAAAAAAAAAGAAAATGGGCTTTCAAATTTTTGAGGCCCTATGCATGGGCTCTGGCCTCTTGCATCACGTGATCAAGATCGGCACTGATAGTCTTTAATAGTAGAATATAATATGAAGAGTTGTAAACAAGCAGTAATACGTGTGTATTTCTACAATAATGTCACTTCATGAATGTAAACTATTTACCATACACGCATTGTATGAATAGTCTAATGTCCAATGTATAAATTAAATTAATTTTTTAAAATTTATAAAAGTATCTTTCGGTATCCCGACGTATATCAATACAAGATTATCAATTTTTTTATAAAAATAAATATTTCAGGAATGCATAACTATGACATGTGACAGAAATGTTGGATTAAATAATCCAATAGCAATTTTAGGAGTAAGCACCCTCACTAGATAATACCATAAGCATATTCTTTACAAAACAAAACCCTATTAATTGGCGTGATCCATGCTTTCTCTTGTTGCCACTTCCGCCAGAAATGAATTCTTGATTTGATCTAGTCCCTTGATGTGCTTCACTGCAATTTTAGGGCCTTGGGGGCAATGCACTTCAAAAACAGAACCAAATCCTCCTTCACCAGAAAGACAATGAAAATAAGCATAGTTTCTCATCTAAGTTGAATTATATTGTAAATTAGGTGTACCGTTTCATCAATGCCTAATGTGTGATTCTAATTAATTAATACATTCTAACATATTCATAGTATATGTTTAACAATTATGTCAATTTTGATTGGGATGAGGTTCGAACCTAAGACTTTCCTTATAAAAATCAATGAGTAAGTTAACAATAATAAATAGTTAACGAAATATTCCGTTATTAAAGTTTACACTAACAGAATGCAGGGTATTTAGGAAAAATAAATGATATAATAGAAGGTAAAATATAAAAAATAATTAAAAATACTAAAATCAAAATAACATAAACCATTCATTCCAACAAACAAATACACCAACATTTTTTAGTTCCCGTTAAGGACCTAGCTAACATTATTGGCTCTTATTAACTTTGTTATTGTAAAGTTTGTAGATATGTAGATATGTCTATATTCAAAAATTACTTAATTGTTTAATAAGTTAATGATGTTAGGACTATATTGTTTGTATTCTAGTAGGACTCTTCTACTATACTTATATTTACATTCTGTATCCTTCATGTGAATGATATTTAGATAATTCAATCCTCATCAATGAGACGCGAATAACAAGTCATTAGTAATAATCTAATAATAAAATAACTCAATAAATTAAAATACAATACTGAGCCAACATAATCAGTTTACAATTCCAATGATTTTTTTTTTTAAATTTGAAATACTCATGATTCTTTACAAGGTAGTATGTGTTTTATACTTTTTATTTTCTTAAACATTCTCAACACAAAGAATCTAAGCTTCCATCGAAGTTCGAACATATAACTACCCATTTAGAATGATAACTGGGATATCATCACACACTACATGGTAGTTGGCAATACAAACGAATCTAATTTCAAGTGTATCTGGCTAGAATACTAAAAATAGTAATGGTGTATTCTTGAATTATTATTATTATTAGAGGACCAAATAAAAGTGATTTTTAATTCAAATTTAAACATAACTCAAAATTCAGAGATGAAATTAGAAATATCCTTTGATAGCTTAGTCGTCGTCAACTCTATCAGAAGGAAAATCTGGAAGCATCAATACTATCCGTGACGGACTTTGCATGCCATACATGAACGAAAACCTTACCCTCATTCAAAACTTGAAAAGCATGTGATGCTTATAAGATAGCCGTTTTTTTTTTTTTTTTTTTTTTTTTTTTTTGGATCTTTTGCAATTTGCAGAATCATGATATCTTCATTTTTTCAATTTCAATTAATTATTTTTCGAAATTATTAAAAGATTATTCTAACATTTATTTCACTACTAGTTTTTTCTACGCAATGTGAAAAAATAAATGTTAATATTAGTATTCAATATTAAAATTATAGTTATATTGAAATGATTTTATAAAATAATACTCCGTATATACTAACGAAAGTTTAACGGTGTAAGGATAAATTTGTCAAATAAAAATAATAGTATAATATTTATAGTGCTATATATAATTAAATAAACATAAAAATATAGACATAAATCAGGGATACTAACCGGGATTCACTCTTACAAGTTTTTTAGATTTATAAAATTAAAATTCATTAGAGAAAAAAAATGCAGTTGGACCACAGGCTAACTAGTCGCGGACATTTGCAAAAGGACGATATTCTGCATGCTTTAATTTGGTATCAGAGCTAACCACATTAAATTTTATAGATTCGAATATCCGTGTTATCTGATAAATAAAGAGACTATGTGTCCACGTCTCGCTTGTAATTGGGGCTTGTCAAAAGTAACTGGCTCGCACACTTGAGGGGTGTGTTGAACATATAATATATAAGTTAAACATAAATACATGTGCAATTCAACTATCAACTTAGGTTTTTAGTTGAGATGGAGCACATTCTTCAATTAAACATAAATGTGCAACCCGCTGATCCCATTTATCAGCGTAGACATTTAGTTGAGATGAAACACATGTTTCAATTTAGTATCATTACCAACTCCATGCTAAAGGTCATGGGTTCGGATCTCCACGTGTTGCTGCCTGTCCAAAGTAACCCGCTCACAAACCGCAGTTTAGGTTGCCCAACCCAAACCAATAAAGTGAATAATTAGTTCCCGGGAGTGAAACTTGAATAAATTTCAACTTTTAATCTGTTTGATTCAAACAACCTTTTTATTATGAGAAAATGTATCTTCCAATTCTTTGTACTTTGACCACAAAGATCAGATAAAAGATGAACTGCGGCTTCTTTGGCGCCGGCCTTGATCTAATCTTTGTCTTTCATCAATGGACAGAACATATCCTATGTTCCTCTTCTAGATTGCAATTTACATTCACAGGAATTTGATCCGATCCCTTAGGGTTCGGCCGGTCGGAATAATTCGATTGTGCATGGAATGTTTTACTACGTAAGTCGAATCTTCCATGCACTTATGCTGGCGCAGTGACGTTCATGCATATTCATCTCATATTCATACTGGCTTTCAATAATTTATAGCCATAGTCCAAATCAATTATTTTTGGTCGGTTATTCATAACTTTTATAAGGTTTTTCATACCATATATAAATTATATTTCTTTTCTAATTTGTTTTTTTTTTTTTTTAACAACTATCAATTAAACACCAGCATGTGGAGTTGACTATTATTGGACTTCTTGGCTTAAGCCAGTAAGCTATGGGCAAGTAGGCAACTTAGACTGATAGGATATATACCTCGGACATACATACCCACACCTGCTCGGATTATGTCCCTTGTAATTAGAAGAACGATTCCCGGACTTGAACCG